TCGATCCAGCTGGTTCATAATAAAAGCTTTAATTATTCATAACACGGTGTGGCTGATCTCGCCCCGTACAACAGAAACCACCCGCTGCTTGGCAAGAGAAAGAGGGAGCTTTCTACTCTCCTAGAGAATTCCACCCTTGGAAACCCACAGGGGCAGTTCTAACCTGTTCTATAGGGTTGCTGTGAGTTGGAATTGACTTGACGGCCATGAGTTTAGTTTTTTCTGAGATTCACTCAGATCCATCCATCCATCTATCCATTGAGCAAGATAGTGTCCAGATGGATACGGTCCAGGCCCTCATGGAGCTTAGGAGAAGACAGACAGATAGTCCCCCATGACAAGCAGAGAGGAAACCTTTTCCATCATCCCCCTGCACGTCTCCCCTACCTGCCCTGTGGATTCTGGGTCCCAGTAGAAAGAGAATGTTATACACGCCTCTTTGTGAAGCTCTCAGGGGTCTGCATTGGGGTCCTGTGTTTCCATCTGTCTGCCCTGTCGTAGACTGTGAGCTCCTTGAGGGCAGGGGAAGGAGCTCAGTGGAATTTGCAGCAGAAACGGACCCTGGAGATGGTTTATGTCAGTCTTGTCCAGGCATTATTGTTTTTTATTAGTGTGTCCCTCAAGTTTTCTGAAGCACCTTTTATCTTGCGTTTTTCTAGTGACAAATAATAAGAGTGAAGGTATATCTTCCGACTCCCTGCTATGGAAAATAGGTGTCCGGACTTCCGGGTCTCTGCAAAGATAACCTGGCGTGTCGGCTGAAATGACTGCCTCCAGATTGTTTGTCGTCCTATAGCTTATCATTCAAGGCTCACTGCCCTATTTTCCAGAGTGACCACACCACAGCTGCAGATCCACGAGGCAGCCCCTGAAGAGACCGTGGCATTGAGCTTTAGCACGGGTGCCTTGGAGACCCTGCGGGGCAGGTCTCTTCGGATCCATGGGAGTTGAAATAGAGTCCATGGGAACCGGTCTTTGCGTGCTATTTGGATGGTTCACATCTTCCCTCGCCAGTTCTTTTGGGTCACATCTCCCCCACTCTCCCATGCTCAATTATAAATCATCTTTCAATGGACTGGCGTGCTTTAGTTACAGTGTCTCTTTGGGAAGAGCACGGGAAAGAGAAATTGTCTGAGTCCTTCCATATCCAAGATTCTCTTTCGGTTTCCACTCTCCGGACAACAGCAGCTGTGTGCACGTAGCTGCTGCCCTTGCGAGGTGCCCTCGAGCCAGTCCCGGCTCAGCCACCCTAAGCCTTGCCGGGTCCTGCGTTTGCCTC